CTGAGGGCCACTTTCCGGGCCACCTGGTGGACGTCAGCGGCGCGGGGTCGCTGTCCCAGAGCTACCAGTATGAGGTGTGTCTGCGGGGAGGATCGGGGACCAGTGAATTCAAGTTCCTTAAACCCGCTATCCCCAACGTCTCTCCCCCAGAAGGTAAAATGGAGGAAAGCCACACCTTTCTGAATGGCTTTGAGTTCATTTAGGGATTTGATTACTCTGCAGAACTTTTAGAGTGAGTGCTATTTCTTTGTAAAATATGTTCATTGTAATGTAAAATTCTTTGTTTTGGGTAACTTCATTTTACTTAAGAGTTTCCAGAAGTTTTGATGAATTTTCTGCTATCTACTTTTTAAATATTAACTGTGGAAAAACTAAGGGAGCTAGGATTTGCTTAGACTTTCTTCCAAAATGCAACCTCAAGTAATTTATTCAAATATACAGCATTTTCCCTTCAAGCTTAATGGTACACTGGGTTCAGTCATATTCTCTGGGTGTCTAAGCTGTAGATCCTCTCACTGAAACTGTTTTTATATGTTTGATAGAGGAAAGTGCATGATATAAATAAAAACCATGCATGGTTTCTGAGATGTTATCTTATTTAGATTTTTTTAAAAACCATAATCAATTTTGCCAATCTTTCCAACCAAATATTTGAGTAATTTTTCTGCATTTAGGTATTTTTCTTTGTAAACACTTTGGAACTGTATATATTGCTGGAAGATGTATTAAAATAAATTTTAATCTTGTTTGGATTAAGAAACATACTCAGCCCACACTTCTTGTCTGAGAACTTCCTGGGACTTCCCAAGGCAGGTAATCACTGTTGAGATGTTTATTATACTTTTCTTTACCTCTCTTGGCCATTTTTGATTAGCCTAGTAATAGACTCCTGATTAAAGTAGGCATAGTCACATTCTCCAAGCCTCTAAATTTCTACTTATGATGTAGTTCATCTATTTTTTTTTCTTGATTGCTTGTAACTAGGAAATAAATATTAAGTATGGGCTGAGGTAGCTATGTTATACTTTTGTAAGCTGGCAGCACAGAGTGGCATGTAGAGAGGGAAGAAAGAAAGGAGGACTGGAAGGAAAATGAGAAGGAATAAGGGAGTGGTGGAGGCAGAAGCCTAAGAAACAGAAGAGACTAAGAGCCATTTGATTCTAGGCATAGTTCCTGATTCCAGTGTTCCTAAGTCCCTAATGTCTAATTGTCCTTCACATTTGCAGTGAAACTCCAGTTCCCATATAATAACACTCCTTTATTTAACGCATCTTGGGGAGAAGGCATTTGTTGAAACCAAACTCTTTTGGAATGATACATGCAATTTTGAGTATTCAATTAGACTACCATAAACTCTGGTCTTTTACTGCAGGTTTTTAATATTAACTTAATCAATGAATGGGATAAAAATGTACAAGCTTAGAGATAACTAATCTGTACCAGAGAGTTTTGTTACAAAACTTAATTTTGTAAATAATTTATAAGATCTTTCAACTTAAAGATGTTATAAAATGTTTTATGGAATATTTTGTTAACAGGTATCCCTCCTTTTTTTAAATGTGCTTCAGGATTAGTTTTAAAAAGTAACATTGAATTTGTTATTGTTTGGATATCTATACATCAAACCTTCCTTAGCATCTCTTTTAAAAATAACTAAGTTCAATGTGAACAGAATTATTTTATCATTTAATGTAAAATCTTCAGATCTATAAATAATCCCATTTATAAATAATATGGGGTAATTCATGATTTCATTAGTAGTAATTTGATTGATGCTAGTCTATTACTAGAACTTTCATGAAAAAAATTTCAAGCTTTCTACCAAGTATATGGGCTTAAAATGTTCTTCTCAGAAGAGAAAATAATGAGAAAATTTATCTGAGAGATGACAAATGGGAATGAAAAACTAATTTTGATCCATTAATTTACTGATACAGGTACCAGCATCTACCTATTAATATTTTTTAAAGTGCATGGACATTAAGGGCACATTTTCTTGGACTTTTGATTCTATAATAAAGAGTTTGATGCATGACCAACATCTTTCTATGAGGAAAATTATCAGATTTTAATTGTTACCAGCATGTTCTCACATTTTGGATTTACATAATCAAATTTGTTTTGCTGTGTAGAGGAAAACATTATAAAATAGAACGTCAATTTGAGTGATTGGCACCTTAATAGAATTAAACTAATATGCAACACAGTTTTTACACTTGGCCCATCCTGTTTTCCCAGTTAGCCACGTATTAGTGTACCAGAGTACATGATAATATCTATTTAAAAGTTATTAAAATTTTGGCTAAAGTTTGATGCAACTGGGGAGACACAGATCCCCCCCCTACCACAAGATGTTTTTCCCGTTGCTAGGACTCTGAAGTCATGCTAGGGTGCCAGGATCCCAAGCTATTCAGAGACATGTGAGCTGCTTGCTAAAAATGAGTTGTGATCTTCCTTATTTGATATGTTTTACCTGCTCTTTCAGATGAATCCAACTTATTTTCTTCTGCACTTTATTTATTGGTTTAAGTTCAGCCCTTTATTTTTATGATCTTCACCATGCTATTTTCCAAGATCTCAGTGAATCTCTGCTTCAACATGTGTCTTGATTTTAGGAATAAATGTACATATCTTCACAAATTGTTTTGGACAATGGAACAAATCAATACTCACATAGGTACTCACATAGGTACAGACACGTTCTCTTTAGACAATATTTACACATAAGTCATTCATAACCCCTTCAACCTTTTTTATGTTTATTTATTTTTGAAAGAAAGAGAGTGGGGGGAGGAACAGAGTGATCTGGGGACAGAGGATCCCAAGTGGCCCCATGCTGACAGTGGAGAGCCCAATGTGGGGCTGGAACTCACAAACCCTGAGATCATGACTTGAGCCAAAGTCCCAACACTTCACCTATTGAGCTGCCCAGGCACTCCTAAACTTTCTTTTTTTTTAATTTTATTTCTTAAATTTTAAGTTTATTTCTTTATTTTGAGAGAGAGAGAGCAAGTGCAGGTTAGCGGCAGAGAGACAGAGAATCCCAAGCAGGCTCCACGCTGTCAGCATGACTTATGCAGGGCTGGATCCCACCATCCCTGAGATCATGACCTGAGCAGAAATCAAGAGACTGATGCTTAACCCGCTGAACCACCCAGGTGCCCCACCCCTTAAACTTTCTATTGAATTTGCATAGTAAACCAATTCTAGCTGGTCTATCACTTAAGTTTATACTCCTGAAACATGTGAATGAATCTCTTCACCTACTGTAGTGGCAGTGAGTTTGTGTATATTCTTTGTTTAGGAATAGACTGATAGCAACACCGTTTTCTACTTAATTTTTCCCCAGAGCACAGATTATACAATATAATAGACAAGTCCATGAGGTCAGAGAAGGTATTTGTATTTCCAACACTTAGTACAATATTTGACGTATAACATGAAATAAGTGTTTGTTGAACAAATACAGTTGGCTTTGTTCTTGCCAACATCCTTTCCTAAAGTGTCTGTCACCATTTCCACATTTATAACTTCACAGGAGAATACAAGTTATCATTTTATTTATAAACCATCCCATGTGTAATCTGTGGTATGTTTTTGTGTGTGCGTGTAAATAAAATGAGTGATACGTTTTGTAGCATCGTCAGCAAACTAGGTTTAAGTACAACACATGGTGGCGCTGTAAGCTAAGGCTGGGAATACCAGACCGGGGATGGTTACTGTTCCTGCAGTCATATGCAGATCTAAGAGAAGATAATTAACCTTGCGGCAGGGATCGACTTGCAGAGCAGTTTGCCTAAAGACCCAATAAGTACCCAGATTCTAAAGGCTTTTGGCGTTGGAGAAATGGAGGCTGAAGAGGAGCGTTTTCCTAGACTAAGGCAAGTTCTTCTTCTCTTTGTTTTGCTGGCTCACACTTGCGCGGAGCGGGAAGATTATTTTATTACAGAAGAAACAGAGAGTGGTTCTTTTGTGGCCAATCTAGCAAAGGATATAGGGCTAGGGGCAAGAGAGCTCTCTCGGCGGAGGGCTCGGATCATTTTTAACAATGACAAAAAGCATTTTCAGCTGAACCTTCAGACTGGAGATTTACAAGTAAATGAGAAACTGGATCGGGAAGAATTGTGTGGCCCCACTGAACCTTGTGTACTGCAATTTCAAGTGTTACTGGAAGAACCTTTGGAGGTATATAGGTATAAGCTTTTGGTCACTGACATAAATGACAATTACCCTGTGTTCCCAGAGGCAGAAATGATTTTAAAAATCATGGAAAATACTCTTCCAGGGGCTGTGTTTCCCCTGAAAAATGCGCAAGATTTGGATGTAGGTGTCAATAATGTTCAAAACTACACCATTTATCCCAACTCCCATTTCCACGTGCTCACCCGCAACAGCGGTGAAGGCAGAAAATACCCGGAACTGGTTCTGGACAAAGCCCTAGATCGAGAACAGCAGCCCGAGTTTAGATTAACTCTCATGGCAGTAGATGGTGGAACTCCTCCCAAAACTGGGACTACCCTGGTCCTCATTGATGTTTTGGACATCAATGACAATGCTCCTGAGTTTGTGCAGCCACTCTATCGTGTGCAGATCCTGGAAAACAGTCCCCTGGGATCTCTTATTGTCACTGTTTCAGCTAGAGATTTAGACACAGGAATAAACGGTGAAGTAGTCTATTCATTTTTCTATGGTGATGAAGAGATTACTAGGACATTTGCACTTAATGAACTCACAGGAGAAATTAAAATAATTAGGAAATTAGATTTTGAAAAAATTAAGTCATATGAGCTGGATATTAAGGCTTCTGATGGAGCAGGTCTTTCGGGAAAATGCACTGTCATAATAGAGGTGGTGGATATAAATGACAACACCCCAGAAATGACCGTGGCTTCCCTTATAAGTTCCATCCCTGAAAATTCCCCTGAGACCACGATAGCTCTTTTCAGTATTCAAGACCCAGACTCTGGGGAAAATGGGAGGATGGTTTGTTCCATCCAGGAAGATGTCCCGTTCACTCTGAAACATTCTCTTGAAAATTTCTACAAGTTAGTAACAGAAGGAGTGCTAGACAGAGAGACAAGATCTGAGTACAACATCACCATCACCGTCACCGACTTGGGGACCCCCAGGCT